GAAGAGGAGGAGGAGGAGGAGGAGGAGGAGGAGGAGGAGGAGGAGGAAAAGAAGAAGAAGAGGAGGAGGAGGAGGAGGAAGAAAAGAAGGAGAAGAGGAGGAGGAGGAGGAAGAAGAAAAGAAGAAGAGGACGAGGAGGAGGAGAAAAAGAAGAAAGAGGAAGTAATGTACTAGAAGGGTTTGTAGGATTTGCACTCTGTTTATGTACAAGTGGTCTTGCCATGTCGGTTTGGATGGGAGTGTTGGTTTCTTCTTGGTGGTTGCTTGATTGAACGTTTGTTTCTTGTGTGTGATTGTTTGACTGAATTGGTAATGGCGAACCGCTTGTACATAAACAGAGAGCAAACCCCACTCCCTTCTGGCACTGATGAGGTTCCCTAGTCGGGTCATGAAACGTCTGCAAGAAAACCACCAGTCAGAGAGCCCCAAGGACACCACCGTCCTCCTCCTCCTCTCCCTCCACCCCTCCTCCTCCTCCACTGTGGAGGAGCACTGACGCTGTTCCCTAGCTGGGTTATTAAACGTCTGCAAGAAAGCAGCCAAGCTCAAAGAGCATCAAATACCCCACAGTCCTCCCCCCTCCTCCTCTCCACAAACCCCACTCCCTTCTTGCCCTGATGATGTTGCCTAGTTGGGCCATGAAACGTCTGCAAGAAAACAATCAAAGCCAGAGAGCACCAAGGACCCCATAGCCCTCCTCTTCCTCCTCCTCCTCCACTTCCTCCTCTTCCTCCTCCTCCACCACTACCACAACAACCCTTCTGGCACTGATGAGGTTCCCTAGCTGGGTCATGAAACGTCTGCAAGAAAACCACTCAGCTCAGAGACCAACAAGGACCTCCCAGCTTAAGCCTGAAGAACAAAGATTATCTTCTATAATTAGAGAGAGGAAGTTGGCCAATATTTTGGAGGGAGGCTCGTAATTTCCTGACGGTTATTAAAAGTTGCTAAATCTTCTTGGGGGTGGAGGCCATGGGGGAAGGAAAGCTTCTAGTTTTTTTTTTTTTTTAAGAGGGGGAGGGAATTAGGCATGCCTTTCAGGTCAGGGACGTTTAATACCAGGCCGAATCAGGCTTCTCTGCAGCGGAGAAATGACTCAGCCATGGGTCACTCCATCCAACCATTTCAATTGCTTTGTAGAAGACCAAGAGAGCCATTTTGGGGTAGCCATGAAGGCACCAGGCTGGAAAATGGGAGGTTTGGGAATTCTAGTCCTGCCTTGGGCATGAAGTCAGCTGGGACATCTTGTGCCAGCCACCTCCTCTCAGCCCTAGAAATGTCCAAGGGAGGAGGGAAGAAGGGAGAGGGAGGAAAGGAAGGGAAGGGAGGAGAAAGGGAGAGCAGAAGGAAGGGAGGGAGGGAGGAATGAATCAGGGAGAAAGGAAGGAAGGAGGGATGGAAGAAGGGAGGAATGGAGAGACAAAGGAAGAGGGAGGGAGGATGGAAGGAGGAAGGGGGAAGGAAAGAGGGAGGCATGAATCAGAGAGGAAGGGAGGGAGGGAGAGAGGGAAAGAGGAAAGGAGGAGGGAGAGAGGAATGAATCAGAGTGGAAGGAAGGAAGGAAGGAAGGA